CACATCACAGGAAGCACAGAGCACAAGGCAGAGACTCCCTGGATGGGAAGCCAGTCCATCACAGGGCAAACACTCACTCACACGCTGAGCACAATCAAGAGGCACTAATTCATCAAACCGCATGATCTTGAACTGTGGGAAGAAACTTGAAGAAACCTACAGGAACACGGGGAGAACATGCAAGCTGTACATGCAGAACCAGGAGTGGGAACCAGACCCACAAGCCTGGAGATGTAACTATGATTGACACCTAAAGCATTTGACAGGATATGCTTTATATAGCATGTTAGCAAGTACATCAGAACATAAAGCTCAATCTCCGTAGTAGGAGGAGAAAACCCATGTTGGTAGAACTTGCAAACTTTAAATTAACATACAGGATTTACCTGTTTCTCCACCTTTTACCTAAGCAGGTGTGATCTCTGTGTATTCAAAGAAGACATTCTCACATGCACACAGACACATCAAATATTTCACACCAAAAAACATCATACTTTTATGTTTACTTAAAATATGATTCATGAATAATTTGTAAAAGTTTCCCGTCTGACCTGTTTCTCTGCCCTTTGCGCAACAGCTGAGACTGTATCATGGCCTCTGTGTTCATCCATCGTACAGAGATAACAGATACACTGCTGGTCGGTACGGCAGTAGACCTCCAGTGGTCTGTCATGGAGGGAACAGACCTTATCCTGCCAACTTCCAATGGCATCAGTCAGCTTGTGCTTCTTAAAAGCTGGAGACTCATAGTGAGGTTGGAGGTGAGTTTCACAGTAAGAGGCCAGACACACCAGGCAGGACTTGACAGCTTTGCGTTTTCTCCCAGTACAGAAATCACACTCCACATCTTCAGGTCCAGCATAATGGTCAGCAGGAGTAGCTGCTTGTAGTCCAGTCTTCTTCAGATTCCTCACCACTTCAGCCAGGATGGTGTTTCTGCCCAGAACAGGTCTGGGTGTGAAGGTCTGTTTGCACTGGGGGCAGCTGTAAACTCCAGCATGATCCTCCTGATCCCAGCAGCTCTCAATGCAGCTCATACAGTAACTGTGTCCACAGGGAATAGTCACTGGATCCTTCAGTAGATCCAGACAGATTGGACAGCTGAACTGGTTCTGATCCAGTAAGACACTGGCTTCTGCCATTTTACCGCGAACGCTGATAGGATTCAGTTTTGTTTTCTCTCACAGTCATCTGTGTGGGAGAGTGGGAGGAGCTTCCTGCTTCTTGGGCTGCAGTAGGTGTGGTTTTGGACTGATACTAGCCTGAGAAGAGCAGACTAGGCAAACACTAGGTTTGGGGTTTATGAAAAAATAGTAAATTAAACAAACTATACACATTTATTTAGCTTTTATGAGTATAACTGATAGTGATAATGCTGTTTTTCTGAAAACCAGTTATAATCCTGCTATTTGTTTTTGTAGATAGAAATTAAGTAGAAAGGTAGAAGACAGCAGCTCTATTGAGAATGAATTTCTGTGTCTGTTTAAAAGTTTGTGTTTCTTTGGTTTTTTCTCCAGATGAAGGAGATTTACCGCAAAAAAGCTGATGGGATTTGAAGCTGTCATGTGGTATCAGGTGTGACTTGCAGGTTTGTGCAACAGTTTTAATTTTGGCAAGAATTCTTAATTTAGTTTTAGTCTTTTTCACTTACTGAAAATTGTAGTCGGATTAAAGTCACATTTTAGTCTTTTGTTTTTGTTTTGATTTAGTTAAGATTTAGTCAATGGTTTAATTTTAGTCTAATTTTAGTACATTTTTTAGTCATAATTTTCCTTTTAATTTTCTAGTCAAAATTTTTCATTTTGGTGAAGGATATTTCTCCTGGCTGTACAAATTTACTTCAGTAGCATGCATACCATATACATAAGCATACTGTTAAGGTACGTGCCGCACGGAGCGAGGAAGCAGGCGAACAGACGTCAGGGATCAGGGAATACGGGTTTAATGCGGAAACACAGAGCACGCAAAACAACATCAATGACGGATCTGGGGTAACAGACTCAGACGCGGACTAAATACAGCAGACAAGCCTAACTAACAAGGAACAGCTGGGCACGATCGGGAAAGCACACGTGGATAAGGAGGGGGCGTGGCACACATCAGGAGCGGACGGAGCAGGGCGTGACACATACCTTTTACATAAGCATACTTTAAACATAAGTATACTGTACCTTACACATAAGCATACCTTAAACATAAGCATACCTTATACGTAAGCATATACCCTATGATGCTTAGTTATCTAGGCAGAGAATGTTACTGACTTACCATCACACGACATCCCCTAAATCTAGCAACTATTTAGAAACAGAGTTGAGTGACCAAAGAAAGAATATTGCAAGTATTACTTGACCAAGACTTAGATCTAAAAGTTCCACTGGGGGCTCCTGTATGGATAATTTAGTATCTGTCCGATTAATTTGCTGGCCTGGCAGCTGTTTTTAACTCAATCTTAAAAATTAAACCCAAGATTATCAAAGATTTTACAAGATTTGTAGCAACGCTAACATTCCTTCAGCAAAAGTTTTCTGTCCCTCCTGGACTCCGTTGAATGTCTCCAACACGTAACAAGACCAACGCCTGTTCACAATCATACACTAGACTTGATTATTACTCAAGGGGTTCCTGCTCATCGTGTATCTGTCCATTGAATAAGTTCTTCTCTTTCTTATGTTCTTATGTTCTGACCATTTTCTTAGAATCGCTCTCCTGATTGAGTCACCCTCTTTGACTATGGCAGAGAAGATTATTATGACACGTCACCTAAACGATAGAAATTCCCTGCGATTTATTAATGCAGTAAGTAATGTGAACTTCATGTCTAGTACAGATGTCAATGACATCATTCATGACTTTAATACAGTGGTTAGTCAGATTTTAGATGAAACAGCTCCTTTGAAAAATAAAGTGGTAAAAATCACCAGACACTCCCCATGGTTTAATGATCACACACACTCTTACAAACAGGAGTGTCACAGTTCGGAGCACAAATGGAAATCCACAGGCTTAGAAGTGTTCAAGTTGGCTGATTTGACAGCCTGCATTAATACAAACTAGCCCTTCATAGGGCATGTTCAACCTGTTATTCTAACCTTATTGATCGTAATAGAAATAACCCTCACTGCCTTATTAAAACAATACATAATCTGATAAATAAGGCTGAACCTCTGCTACCGAATAATTTCGGTAGTGAACATTTTATAAACTTCTTTAGTGATAAAAATACAAACATTTGACTTCAAACATATTCAGATGGCTCACAATTAACTTTAACGCAAATGGAACATAAACACATCCTTAATGTTTTTGAATTGATTAATGAACAAGAGCTAAAAACTATTATAATTAAAATCAAACCAGGACGACTGATCCGTGTAAAGGAAAGAATGAATGGGGCCATGTATTGTCAGATTTTGAGTGAAAACCTCCTTCCATCAGCAAGGGCATTGAAGATGAAACGTGGCTGCGTCTTTTCAGCATGACAATGATCCCAAACACACCACCCGGGTAAGGAAGGAGTGGCTTCGTAAGAAGCATTTCATGGTCCTGGAGCGGCCTAGCCAGTCTCCAGATCTCAACCCCATAGAAAATCTTTGGAGGGAGTTGAAAGTCCGTGTTGCCCAGCGACAGCCCCAAAACATCACTGCTCTAGAGGAGATCTGCATGGAGGAATGGGCCAAAATACCAACCACAGTGTGTGAAAACCTTGTGAAGACTTACAGAAAACGTTTGACCTCTGTCATTGCCAACAAAGGGTATATAACAAAGTATTCAGATGAACTTTTGTTATTGATCAAATACTTATTTTTTACCATAATTTGCAAATAAATTCTTTAAAAATCAGACAATGTGATTTTCTGGATTTTTTTTCTCATTTTGTCTCTCATAGTTGAGGTATAACTATGATGAAAATTACAGGCCTCTCTCATCTTTTTAAGTGGGAGAACATGCACAATTGGTGGCTGACTAAATACTTTTTTTGCCCCAAAGTACTGTATGTTCAACTGTCAGATACTTCTACTCTATCGTCAATGTCACCAGTCAAATATGGAGTACCACAGGGATCAGTGCTTGGTCCTTTATTGTTTCCTCTTTACATGCTGCCATTAAGAAACATAATGAGAAAACATAATGTTAATTATCACTTCTATGCCAACGACACCCAAATATTCATTTTGGTTAGGCTTAATGACACAACATCTATTGTCACCTTAGCTAATTGCTTTATCAAAGTCAAGACCTGGATGACTTTTTTTTTTTTTATCACTAAATGCTCAGAAAACCGAGGTTCTGATGTTTGAAGGCAGGTCTGCAGATAGGAATTTTATAATCTCTGCACTTCACCCCAAAGGGCTGAACTTTTCCCTCAGCAGCTGAGCCCATAACCTAGGTGTCATCTTAGATACAAGCCTCTCATTCAAATCACATGTGGATGCAGTATCGAAGGCACGCTTCCTACAGCTACGCCAAATCGCCAAACTGCGACAAGATCTTACTATTCAAGACACAGAGAAATTGATACATGCCTTTGTATACAGTAGGTTAGACTATGATGCTCTGTTATCTGGGAGCACACACTGCACATTAAATACCTACAGTATAGCTGCTGGTGCTGCTGTACATGCCATTTATTATCCACTATGCTTGTCCATGTATGTATCAACACATGTTCTGACCATCTGTGCTCTCTCAAGCCCAGAGCCAGAGGTTACACCCTGAGACTCCACACCTCCCCACAATCACACATACTGTTAGGATCTATTTTAAGTATCATTTTAATGTTACGGAATCATGCATGATTATGAACGTCATTTTCAAGAATTGTTTTGGAATTTAAGCTGACTTTAAAAATGTTAACTTACAGGATTCACCTGTTTCCCCACCCTAACCTAAGCAGGTGTGACGTGAGTTCTGTGTCTTCAAAGGAAACATTATAATATGCATGTAGACATATGCTATATATTTCAAATCCAAATCATCAAGTTTACTTCTTATATGATTCATAAATAATTTGTTAAAGTTTCTGGCCTGACCTGTTTCTCTGCTTTTCCTTCAGTAGCTGAGACTGTATCATGGCCTCTGTGTTCATACCTGTACATCATACAGAGATTACACACACACTGCTGGTCGGTACGGCAGTCGACCTCCAGGGGTTTGTCATGGTGAGAGCAGACCTTGTCCTGCAATAATGAGCTTGTGTTGTTTTGAGTGGTTCAGTTTATTGTGAAGTTGCAGGTCAGTTTCACAGTATGAGACCAGACACAACAGGCAGGATTTGACAGCTGTGTTTTCTCCCTGTACACTATATGGTCAAAAGTATGTGGAAAACAGCTTGTCCAACATCTCATTCTGAAACCAAAGATATTAATATGAAGTTGGTTGGCCCATTTTTCCTATATCAGCCTCTACTCTTCTGGGAACGCTTTCCATTAGATTTGGGAACTTTGCTGGTAGGATTCATGGCCACTAAGATGGATGCTCTCAATTCAGACATGCAGAATTTTTAAAATGAAAATATGGCAAAGTTACAAAGCCCATAAGGGGATATGAATTTTTTCTTTTTTCATTTTTAGTTTCAGATGAGCACCAGTTAGTTTCAGGAGGGCACCAGTTACAGGAACAGTTAAAGATATCTTACATGGCAGCAGAAATATGCTTCCTGATTTTAATCTCTCAAAAAAATGTAATCAAATTGAATTACCATATTAATGAGAAATTGTTTTCATTTGATGAACTGAATTATATTTGTTAACTAAACCTGTTATTATTATTTAAATGATTCATGCCAATAGAATAGAATAGAATAGAATAGTTTATTTCTCCCTGTGAGGAAATTGTCTTTCGTCTGTCTCATCTTGCTCTCAGTGAGACTTTCAGGCACTCGGCCAGCTTGGGGGTCATTGCACAGGATCCTAACATTTAACATAAAAACTGAGTAAATGTATTGATTTTTTGTTTAATTTCTACCTGTCAATGACTCAAAAATATAATTCATAAGAAATCTGTATACCTGTATTTTTAAATTATATTTATTTTTATATTTGTTTTTCCCCTTTCACAAGAAATATTAAATACACCAAATTGAACTGGTGTCTATAAATCAAATTCAAATCAAATTTTATTTGTCACATGCATCATCATACATAGTACAACCTGCAGTGAAATGCTTATTGCAACTGTTCCAATTAAATATTGCTTAAAAAAACTGTATAAAAAGAGATGAAAGAGATGAGATATAGCACTATCTATGCTATATAAAGGGATATATTATATATATATATATATATATATATATATATATATATATATATATATATATATCTGCAATGTACATATATTACACTATAAAACAACACTGAACATGGAGTTTACAGAACAATGTGGTGGCATAGGAGTATGGAGTGCATAATATAATATAATATAATATAATATAATATAATAGTGAAGGGTTGATGACGTCACTCCATCACCATCACTCTCTCGCATCCTGGGTATTGTCCTGGTTCAGACACCAAATAGCTTGAGGGAAGAAGCTCCTCCTCATTCTCTCTGTGTTTGCCTTTAGGGAACGAAATGGCTTCCCTGACCTCATCAGTGAGAAGAGTTTGTTGTTGGGGAGTCTGGGGTCTTTCATGATCCTTCTGGCTTTGGTTTGGCACTGTTTGGTGTAGACAGACTACAGGTCAGGGAGCTCAGTGTTAATGATGCGCGCGGCTGATCGCACCACTCTCTGGAGAGCATGTCTGACCTGCATTGTGCAGTTCCCAAACCAGGTGGAGATGTTTCCCGTCAGGATACTTTCGATGGTGCAAGAGTAGAAATTCCTTAGCACCCTCTGAGGCAGGCAGAAATCTCTGAGGCGCCTCAGATGGAACAGACGCAGATGGGTCTTCTTAGACAGAGAGCTGGCGTGGCGAGACCATGAGAAGTTCTGTGTGATGTGGACGCCCACAGTGTGTGATGATGTGTGAGTGGCTGCTCTGTGATGGACTGACATCCCATCCAGGGTGTCCCCCAACATTGGAGGACATACCTTGGCTTGATCTGTGCACTGATCCTCTGGAATCACTGCCTGCTCCTACCTTTCTAATCCCACATGGCGGAGGTTTTAGGGTTCACTGGGATAAAATGAAGGTCCATTCTGTAGTCGGCGGCAAGCAGATCACAGCCAGTAGTCATGTTTTCTGCTATTAGAATTTTCACACATCGTTTGCAGGGCTCGTGCCCACATTTATTTAATTAAATACGCACATTGCCACATGTCATGCTGTTCATGAGTGATGTCAACTTCCTGAAACCATCTGTACTTTGACACTGTGTTTTCGCGTGAACAGTGAATTGCTTCATTTACTTGAAATTTAACAGATTTTAGCTTAGTGTTTTGGAACTTTTGATGAAAATGACTTGTATACATGTATATTGTATCAATTGTGTGTAGACTGTGAAACAAAAGTTAACTGTAAGGTTACCATACGTTCAGGTTTCCCTAGGGTAACCAGATAATCCATGTCAGGGAGGACACTTTGAGCTACTTCGGGTTTTTCACATTAGCATTAGTGACATATGCATGGTTATAGGAGACTGACCAATCAGCACACAGCAAGTATGGGGTGCCGTTTGTAAAGTTACGAAACATTTTTGTACTTGCCACTTTTTCAACATTTAGTGCAATTTTCTGACATTTAGCTAGAAGTCAATGGTGTTGTGGATCATCATATTTTTTGCTGTGTAGATTATTTGCACAATTGTTCATCATATGTAAATATAAATGGTATGTCTATATATAAATATTAAATGTAAATGTCAAATGTAAATGTCAAATATAAATGTTAAATGTAAATATAAAAGTTAAATGTAAATATTAAAGTTAAATGTAAATATAAATGTTAAATATAAATGTTAAATGTAAACGTAAATATAAAAGTTAAATGTAAATATAAATGTTAAATATAAATGTTAAATGTAAAAGTTAAATGTAAATATA